GTAATGAATCAAATTTGGTTAATAATCTATTTTTAAAGATAATTTTCTGAAACATTTTTTTTAATATACACAAATCAATTTTTTATTAAATTAAAATTTGAGATTAAATATCAAATAATTTATAATTCTATTTTTAGTTAATAATGAAAAAACAAATATTTACTTGCTTATAGGGATGAGACCAATACCAATATAATATTGGTTTACAATATCAATATAAACCAACATATAATTAAATATTAGTATTGGTTGTAAGACCAATATCAATTACCTAAATATATTGGTTTGATATATTGTTTAAATACAATTGAACCAATACCAATATTAAAACTAGATAAATTCATAAATTTACTTGGTTTTATCGTGGATGATTATATCGTGGTATATTTTTTTACTTTCATTGCATATACTTAAATTGGGTATTTCTTTCAAATACTAACTTTTCTGTACGGCGATATCTATATTGGTGTTATTTATAATTATATATTTTTAAAATGGAAGTAAATTATCTACATAATATCTATTAATTTTATCTATTCATTTAGGATATTATAATGAATAAAGATCAAATATAGTTAATAAATATAGATAAAGCTGATGATACTAATAATAATAGCGATAATGAACAAGAAGAATCATCAATATCTAATAAATACTGCAAAAATCTGGGAATTTTATAAGAGTTGAGATAACAAAAAAACAGGCTATTTATAATAATGACAAAATTGTCACTTCCCGATTTTGTAACCTCAGAATTATGGACAAATCCATCCACCCATCATTATATATAGGAAATGTGAACAAATAAATATTATCAATAAAAAAATTAACACAATAAAATCATTTTTTAGTTAATAATATAAAAAAATTAATTTAAATCATTTAATGATAAACTTTTTTATTCAAAATAATTTAAATTTTAACCAATAATAATTTAAATTTTAACCAATATCATTATAAAATATACCAATATAAACAAATACCAATACAAGAAATAGAAAATATTGTTTTTAAACCAATAACAATATTTTAGACCCAATACCAATGCCAATAACAATATTTTGTTTATCTTGGGTTTTTAATATTGTTTCCCAGCCCTACTCGTTTATTATTGCTCATATTTTATTTTTTTCATTTTTAAAATATAACAAATATGTATCCATAAGAGGGCGTTAAATGCGTAAATATGAAAATATCGTCTTTGGAACGCTTTTTTTTATATAAGGGTATAAATACATGCGGAATACCTAAAATTTTCTTAAAAAAGATAGGTATCTTTGACATTTAATATGAGTGTTAAACATTATCCTAAATGACATTTAATATGAGTGTTAAACATTATCCTAAAATATAATTTGAAAATACTATGATTTGACCGAATGCCGAGCTCAAATCCGACCACTTACTAAATATTCAATTGACCAAATTTGCTAGTAATATCAATTGATAAATGTTTATTTTTTGTTTTATATATCTATAAATACGTGTAAAACATCATCCCAAAAAATATTTTATAAATATCGTGATTTGACCGATAACCAATTTGAAACCGGTCCAATAACTAAATACTGCATTGGGTGTTATGCATAGAAAATATTTATATAGATAAAACAAAGATGAACATATTTCATTTTATATTAATAGCAAATTTGGTCGATCGAATATTTAGTAAGTGGTCGGTTTTGAGCTCGGCATTCGGTCAAATCATAATTTTTTTAAGATATTTATTAGGGTATCCCTAACGCCTAGATGTACACTTATAAACCAAAAATGAAGAGATTTTTATCAATAACGCCGGCAATATGCGTCTTACAAATTTTCGATTATTTCTAGATTCTAAACCTGCTTATAAACTAAAGGTCAAAGAAACCTATCTTTTTCAATTTTAGGTTTTCCGCTTCTATATATAAAAAAAGCGCTAACCAGATATCATTCCGGTTTCCAATGATGATATTTTCATATTTATGCATTTAACGCCCTCTTATGGATATATATTTATTAAATTTTTAAATTGTAAATTTGAGTTGTAATAAGCATATAAATATTTTTTTTTCCCCATTAATATTAAGTAAAAAATAGAAATATAAATTATTTGATATTTAAGCTAAATTTTTTATTTAATAAAAATTGTTTTATTTAAAAAAATTTTTTATAAGCGAATTATAATGATACATACAAAAAATAGGATTATTAAAATTAAAACACTGATTTTTCTATGCCCTATCTTTGACAATGTATTGCAAAAAGTATATTTAATAAAGCAATTTTAACTTGTGATTTCAAAAATAATGAAAATATTTTTAATGAACTTGAAATTTTAAAATAGGATTGATTTTGGTTTAGGTTCAGTAAGATATCGAAGGTTCTGGTTTATAGGGTTCAGCTTCTAGATTCCCAGCCCCGATTATAAATAAAAGATATATGCTGCCTAATTTATCTACAAATAAATAAAATTTAATATATTTTTTTTTCGATTGTAAAGAAAAAAATATGCCACTTATTGGCTTATATCCTACAATTGGTTGATTTATTGGACTAATTTGGCTGCTCAAATTTTTGGTTTGTTTACCACTTTTAGTCGGGTCGGAAGAAAGAAACTCGACTAATCAACAATACTAAAGGCCAGCTTTGCTTTAAACAATTTTATTTAACCCTATAGATCCTTATAGAACCTCCTTCCCCACCTTCTCATTATTATAATTCGCTAAATTTAATTATTATTAGTATCTACTAATTTTCTTTTCGTTAATGCACTTTTTACGAAGATATGACTATCATTGCTAACCTTCCATTGCTTCGAGATGTATCACAGATCGTAAGCGAATACTTGACAATGTGTGAAGGCTTTAAATAATAATTAAATAAATTCGAATAATTATTTAGTTTAGTTTTACAAAAATAAATTTTGAGCTTTTTCATTCGTTCGTTCTTTCGTTTTCATAGTCAGTTTATTGATGTCTCCTAATATGTTCCTGAAACTCTCATATAATATATAATACAATATAATTACATTCCCACATAATTACTATTTATGTAACATTTGATTAATCTCCTTATGGTGAAAAGGAATGAGGAATTAAGGAAACATAAAACTCATTCGAAAGCAGACTCAGCATCCTCCAATTATTCAAGGCAACAGGAATGCTACCAAACATCGTATGCCCTGTTCTAAGATTTTTTGGTAGCTAAATATATAAAAGAATATACAACAAATAACGAGTCGGTTAAACAAGTATGTTCATAACTTATATATTGATTTTTAAAAAAATTCATAAGAAATATTAGCCATAAGGGGAAATGTGCTTAGATTAATAACACATTGTTACATGTCTACTGTTAAGTAGAAAAGGCATTGTCGCCCATGCATTACCGAGAAGATCGACAACTGCAAAAAGATATTTACACGAAATGTTACCTGAAAAACACTAGTAGTGAAAAAAAAACATTATCGCTGTATTTTCATTAATATATTATCGCCAAAGCGTTATGGCGATGCATTTCCTCAATAAAAATGGATAGCTAAAACATTATCGCGAATGAATTTACGCTAGGTGAATATATTATATCAGTAGAATGTATTATAGCAAAAATGTTACTTCTAAAAGCGACCTACAGCTAATAGATTTTTTTTTTTAATTTCACTGATGGGTTAGTTATATGCATCTGATTATATCAACGGGTAGCCACCGTTATTCCCCAGTTTCGGTAAAAATTAAGGAAAACTTTTATATTTATTAACTAATATTATTATAATCCTAAAGGATATCAGGCCTTTTAGCTTATAAGAATAATAGCAATGTTTAAGAGTAGATACATTCGCTTGTAATGGTACCGCGATAATTTTTCGCAATGAATACGCGGTAATCTACCCGTAATACATTCGCAATAATGTTATTAGCGATGATATCCATTTCGACATTGCTGCTTACAATTTCGCAGTGTCTAAGATAAGGTAAGATGTATAGTTAGTTCATCAAATCTCTAAAAAAAATATAACATTTTAAAATGCGAAATAAATTTTCATTTTCATGCTCAAATTTAATAAAATATTGGAATTATTCCAAAGAATTGTGTTATTTTTCGTTTGGAAACGTTGATAATGATAAACAGAATATTTTTTTAAAAATTAGAAGTCCTTAGAAAGAGTTAAACTTATATCATGGCTGCCACGGTTGTTAAGCTATTAGTTCCCAGCGTCTTCATGGAAGGGGTGGGCATGCCTAGTTTTACATCCTAATCTTAGGAGTATGCCTCTCCCATAAAATATATATGGAGACAAATTGTTCTTACACCCTCCCACCCCCTTTGCTTGGTATAGGCACTGCTAGTCTATAAAGCCAAATTTTATATTATTAATTAACAGTAGTGATTTATTTAAAAAAAATATATAGTGTCTTTTTTTTACACCAGCTAATAATTATTGAAAAAAGGATATTATGTGACTAAAAAAAGGGAGCTATATATGATATTTCATAAGGAAGTATGTGTTTTTTTTTGAAAAAGAATAATCATCTATATAAAAGTAATAGAAAAAAGAAAAATTTTATTAATTTTTTCGGAGGTTTAAAGTCTATCACGGACCGGTAGAAAAATTATAAAATCATAGTCTTACTTGACGGCATCCGAGAAAATGATCGACACGAACCTTTCTGCTCAAGGCTCCAAACGTTTCTGTTCAAGGCTCCAAACATTTTTGCTCAAGACTCAAAACATTTCTATTCAAGGCTCCAAAGCATTTCTGCTCAAAACTCCAAACATTTCTGTTCAAGGCTCTAATTCTGCTCAAGACTCCAAGCATTTCTGCTCAAGGCTCTAAGCATTTCTGCTCAAGGCTCCAAATATTTCTGTTCAAGGCATATCATCATCTTTGAAATAAAATCAAGCTACTTATTTATTTTATAAAAGAAAACTAAGATTTAAAAACCCCTTTTAATAATATATTATTTTATTTTATGAAAATAACATGATATACGGAGCTTTTTTTTAAAAAAAATATATATTATCCAAAGCTGTACTATATAAATAAAAAATCAATGCATAAAATGAGATGACAAGACAAAACTTTATATAAAAAAAAATACATTAGGTTTTAAATTAATATAAATATAATTGCAAGGAATAAAATAATATAAAGTATCTTTTTTTTAAGGAATTCTGTCCATCAATTCTGTAATCAAGGATAGACTCCCTACGGTAAATGTTTGCGAATTGATGATATCCTCTTCCTCCTTAGAAGCTTTGTTATTATTGTTCCTAATGTTATTGCCGTGGTCAAGAATATTTGCATTTTCTCCCTGGATTCTGTATAGGCAATTCGTTTGTTGTTCGGGAGGTAAGCATACCAAACAAGTGCCCGCTCTTTCCGATTTCAATGGAGCTACCTTTATATAAATATATAAAAATTTATTATAAGATAATGATATATTTTCTCAATGAGCAAAGTTATGGAGTTTTAAATACAAAAAAAAAATTAACATTTAAACGAGCAAAAAATTTAAATCCGTTTGCCGAGCTAAAACATAAGTGATATATCTAATTATAAATGACAAATAATGATAAATGTAAGTTTATCAACATCGACACCAATATTTTTTACAACTTTAATTTGAATAATTTGTAAAATTTCACCAGTGTTCAATATTCTTAGGTACAGCTCGGGTCTGAGCCGATTTTTACTATTCCGCCAATTTTTTGATAAATTCGTATCACGCAAATTAATCCCTTAAATCAAACAATCATAATAAGAGATTTCCAGTCCCCTCCCCTACTTGAGAATTTTCCCGAGTAAAAAAAATAGTATAATAAAAAAAACAGTCTAAGAAAAAATATTCGTTGTTGAAACAATATGTGAAACCACTGAACCGACTAATCAGACTAACCCAGCTCATAGTCTATTCGGGTCGTGTTTTTTGGCCCCGATTCGTTGTTACACCGACTAAGCTGCTGACAATTTAACAACATTACCTGCATCTAGGATAAGAAGGTGTATCTCTTATCCTTGGAATTCAATACATATTTGATATAATACTCTTCTTATGAGACTTTTAACGTAGTTATATATAATCCCCTCCCCTTACTTCTGTCCATTGATTGACGTAAGGATCGTATATTTCGACGGATTTCAGGTATTCGAAGCCATCGTAGCCCCCTACAGCTAAAATGCGGTCTTGGCCCAAAGAACAAAGACCTACGGCATCCCTGGCGACTTTCATTCTATTAACCGTGGTCCAAGTATCGGTTTGAGGATCGTATCTAACACAAATTTTATTTTTTAGTTTATATTGTTTTTTGTTTGTGTAGTGATTAACTCCAGTGAAGGTCAACCGGACCGGTTCACAGACCATTCCACAATTCACAAATTTTATTAAAGAGTGGTCAACATTAAGATCGAGTTTAGGAACCAAATGAAATCCTAATTTATTTTGACTGCCAAAATAATTCCAGTCTTTATCTGGTGTTAGCCAAACTTTTTTCTTATCACCCATCCACTTCATCCTTGCTTTCCCCCCCCCCCTCAGTTTGTTTGTTGATTTTTTGGGGGTAAAAAAAAAGAACCTTTCGACTGATCGGTAAAAAGTGGCGTTGAGCGATTTGTGAGAACTCTTGTGGCCTCCGGCCACATAAATATGGCCCGCTACGGTAGCGGTCCCAGCACTCCCTCTAGGTTCGGCCATGCTAGCCAGGTGGCACCATTTGTCCCTATGAAGATCGTAACGCTCGCAAGAGCGCAAACAATTGTTCCCGTCTCGACCGCCTATCGCATAGAGCCTACAAAAAGTTTGTTTTATTTTACATTTTAAAAATTTACGATTTAATATTTTATACTTATTTTTCATATACAATACAACGATGCAAGTATTATATCTTTAATCTAATTTCGCCAGATAATATCAAACAATCTGTTCTGGATGATAGGTTTCAATCATATCTCTAGTCCTTGGTGTCGTGATTGACGGGGTTCAATCACGAAGAGGGGGAGGAAAAAGAAGACGAAGGCGAAAGAAAAAAAGATTATTTTTAGTTTTCGTTACGTCATTCTTATTATAAACATTTTTTTTTTGTGTTAATAATTTGAGATGTCATGATTACCTTATTTGGGAATAGAATTTATTATTATTGTAAAATTGAATATATTTTTAGATAGGGATTTTTTTATTATTATTATTTTATTTTTTTTTAATTATAAAATTCATTTTCTTGTTTTTGTGAATTGTTTTATGCAAATAAAGTTAAAATAAAAAACCAGTCTCTAGTTATTCTATTATTCATAAATTTGAGGGATCATAATTCTAATATTCGTAAAAAGAGGTCACATCGGCAATACTTGGCATAATAAATTCTTTTTAAAGTCAAACATTAAGCTGCTCCGTCTCTTCTACTATTTTATTGTAAAATCACGTGACGCAAAAAAGTGTAGTTTTTTTTATCTTTTCTCTCTTACATTATTTTTTGAGAAACTAGAAATATACTTGCCCGACTAAAAAAAATTGCGAAATGTATAGTAAGGCAAACTGTTTTTTTTAAATGATCTTATTGGTCCAAAAAATTAAAATATAATAACTTGTTATCCAAGGCCACTACGCTAACCGTACTACGGGCCAAGTTCATCTGAGCCACAAAACTCCAGGTCTTGGCTTGGGGGTCGTATCTTTCCACGGTGTTAAGATAACTCCACCCGTCGTGACCGCCAACGGCGTATATAAGACCACCTAGCGTAGCAACGCCTGAAACATGAATTAAAAAAATTTTTCAATATAATAAAAAAATTTCTGGTAGTAAATAAGAGTAAAGAACAGTTTTTCCTCTGTAATGAATCAGTTTAGAAATATAAAACGCTAATTTATTTAGATTATTTTTTCTTTCTAGCCTCGATGATCATATAAATTATCATAAAAAATAGTTTTAAAAGTTCTATATCAATCAAACTTTATAAGTAGTATAAGTTTGTTATTTCAAAAAAAAGACAAGTTTGTCAGCATAAAATATAGCACTAAATTACATAATAACGGAATATGAATTTCTTGCATATCAACAATATATAATTCAAAATAATCCTTAATTTGCATTACATTACATTGTAATCCTTCCATTAAAAACACACAAGAAAAAGAATATTCTTAAAGAAAGAAAGACTTATTTTTCAAAATTGATAAGCACTCCACCTAATCCGTGCCTAGGAGTTATCATTCCAGCGCATGATTCATTCGTAGCCATTTCGTTAGGTCTATCGCTTCTTACCCTGGTACTGACCTCGTTCGTATAGTCATACTCCGCGTCACGAAAACCGCTCGTTCTCATGTCGTAACACTCCACGGAACTCAGCGTTTTGAGTCCATCGCGACCGCCTATGAGGTATATCTTGCCGGCACTGTAAACGGCCCCGAATTGGAGTCGTTTGTTGGAGGATAAAAAGGCTGGAGGCATAATTTGAGTCGAAGAAGCATGGAGCGAGGTTGCCATATTGAACGAGGTGGATAAATTGGAAGGATTCGATTCCGAAATGGGTGGGCAGTTCTGGCGAGTGGGGTATTTGGTCCATTCGTTTTTTCGGTAATCGTAAATTTCCACGCCGGTAGAGTCTGAACGTATTTTAACAAAGCATTTTTTTCTTATTATTAGAGTGAATAGTCGATTTTTTTAATATAGGCATAATGTATATGTTTTTTTAGAACCTTTTTAAGCGTGACTGGTGGAGTAAAAAAATATAAAGAGAATAATAATAAAAAATCTTAGTATCACCCATAACGGTTTCAAATTTATTTACATTCTATATCTGTAATAAAATAATGACCTTACAAATTAATCACCAGCTGATTTTCGATTTGTTTTTTTTGTTTATTTTATAAAAGATATATTATTACGACAATCAATTAGGGCATTTAATAAACAATAACTTCGACTGATATCCATACCGCCAATAGCGTAAACAGTGCCAATCGTGCCTTTCCTGGCGATCATTTTTTTAGGATTTTGTCCCAGAACCTTCCTCGACGGTAACAAGTTATATATCAGAGCTTCCATGATGAGCTTCTGGCATTCGGGATCTTGATTGAGGAGCGGTTCCATTTCGACATTTTCGCCTATAAACTTTTGTAAGCGCGAGTGCAGTAAGTTTGATATTAAGTTTAAATAATTTTTGAACATAAATCTCCTCAAAAAAAATGTGTTGAATATTAAAATTGAATTAATAAAAATTCTATCTTCAAAAAAAAATAAACTTGAGGTGATAACTGAGACAGTTTGATGGAACCCATCAGCTGGGATATATGCACTCCCCTTTTGGCCACATCGTGTCTAACCCAATTCATCATGGCTTTGAACACGCTTTCCTCGTGCGTTATATTTAATTCTTCGCTTCTCAGCAGTGATAGGATTTGTTCGAAAGGTAGCAATAAAAACTCTTGCGTTTTTACGACGTGTAAAAAATTGTCCTACAGTGAAAAAAAAAATTATGAAAATTTTTTAAAAGTAAGGTTAAAAAATAAAAAATTGTAATTTCATGCTACAAATCGTTTATAATTATGTTTCTCGGGGGAATTTAAAAATGATAAAAGCATGATAGACTATAAAAGAGAGTTATGATGGAGGTTCGATCGGGTTAAGTTGGTTCGGTTAAGTTCATGCAGAACTCTAATGATTGAATAAGAAACCAAATTGGTATAGAGGTAAAAATTTTTCAATGAAACTAGCTTAGGCGTAATGTGTTTAAACCTTTTTTTTTATTGAGCTTCTAGAAAAAGTGTATTAGGCATTCTGACCATAATCAATGCATATACGAAAGAGTTTTAGGAACAATTATAAAATATCATGAGTATGTACTTGAATTTCTAAAAAAAAGTCACCTGTTCTCAATTACATCTGTCAAGTTAGAGCTAAGAAAAATATATTTAAATTTATAGAAGATTGTCTGCTCTTTAGTTTTAACCTCAACAAGTGAAGTAAAAGCATTTAATTGAAAGAGAATAGAAAAAAAAAGAATTAGCACATTTAGTATTTGGTAACCTAGCGGAATTAGAATTATCGAGTCAAAAATGGAAAATAGTTGTAGTACCGTATTTAAGGGAGGAAGATAAGAGGTGATTACCCGCCAAAAGTCAATATAATATATTCTAATGTCAGTAACCCTATTAATAAAATAGGATACTGATCTATCTCAATAATTAACTCCTACATTTTTTTGAGGAATAATTTATTCAGGTTCAGAAATTTAAAATTGTTTGGTTGGGTATTTTGAGACCGCGGTCCTAACAGAGACCGATTTATGGCGAGCCAATCGAACCCGGGGTGGGTTCGAACCTCTTTTCAAAAAATCGGTTTTCGGTTAAGTTCTTGTTATCAAAATTCCGGCTACAGAACCCTAGGATTTATATATAATATAAGAGGTGATTTAATATTGTACGATGATGAAATTTTCAGAGATTTTGTACAATTTGCTACAACACTGAGAATCGGCGAAGGCTCTGATACCGCAACAGTTCAGGGGGTTAAGTCTCTCGATCAAAAAATTGCAACATGCTTGAACCAAATCTGGAAGTTGAAGAAGATTCGCGGTCGACAAGATTTTTTCAACGTTTTCTTCTTTGATTTCGATGAAACCTTGGAAGGGAAGGGGGGGGGGAGGAATGGAGAGTTGAGAAAAAAAATCACTAATATCAATGATCCGCTACGAATATAATCACGAATTTTTTTCCTTATTATTAATCAAATTCTTATCATTCCTATAATATAATTAGGTTAATTCTTACCGCTATACATGTAATCCACAACGAGGGACAATACGGCGGACTCGACTCCCCCGATCTCCACCCGGTACTGGTTGGCTTCTAAATGCTGCGCGCGACCAAACATGGCGGCGAAATAGTCCGAGCACGAAGCCAGTACTAGTTTGTGAGCCGGAGCCACGTATTTTCTAGGAGAGTCTTGAATTGTAAAATCCCTCCCCGAGTGACTATTATCTGTATCGTTATTGAGCGAGAAGCCTTCTGTTACCTTATTCGCTGGGTCTTTTAATCGACGTGATTGGTTGAGTTTTATTTGAAACAATACAGAAAAAAAATATTTAATAGTTGAAATTATTCTTGAATCAACTTGACCGAAATATTTTAATTCTCGCCAAAATTGGAAAAAAAACCTTTTTTTTTACTTTAGCTTTTGAAACCAAAAAAAAATTATCTTTATATTTCATTGAAATTTTAATTTATTGTGTAATTGAAACCTGAAAAATAAATTAAACCGGAAATACACCGAACCAACATTTTCAGTATTAGTTTCGGCTAAAAAATGGTATCGGTATATGATAAGTAATTTAAATTGACATGAATATGAATATAGAAATGGTACCTCCTTCTGCGGGGCCTATGGTTGTCGAATCATCTATAGCCACGAGCTGCACGTCACACAAAATGGCGGAAGCCCGAAAGGCGCGCATTTTCCTAAATTTACGCGTTACGTGATCCGGCGGAGCGTGATAAGTTTCCCCTAATTCGTCGCAGGATGATTCGTTCATCGGAAAATTGGAAGCGCAGAGAATTTTGGAATTTTTTTTTAGGATTTATGGCAGTGGAAAGTATTCATTCTTATATAATCATCATTGGGGGTGAGGGGCGAGATAAAAATATTTCTAGATTGACAGGTATCTATCAATGAAATGATTCATTTCGGGATAAATAATGATTCGCGAATAATTTAATTCAGTACGGGGAGCCCATAATTTCGGAAAAGCAATTGCCACGCGCCACCGCATTAAAAATGGGTAGTAGCATTTGTTCACTAAATAAGCGATTTCTTAATTCGGATTATAAAAATAATGTATTTCCTGTCGTTTCAAATTTTTTTTTTTTTTAAATTAATAAGTTTATTTTATTCCAAATCCAAATAGAAAAGGCTGGCACATATATATGTATATATATTTTTTTTAAAAAAACTAATTTTTACTTTTAAAAATATATTTTAAAACAAAAATCGATATTGTCTCCTCTAAAAAAATATGTATTTGATCAAAACCAAAAGTTACGATTAGCCACGAATAGAAATGTGCTGACCTGAAGGTTCACGAAATTTAATCGCGTTTAAAATTATTTTAAGAATTCGTAATTAGGAAATGAGGGGGAAAGTCAAAAAAAAATTGATATTTTATATTTCATATAATAATAATAATTTTTATAGACCGAATTTATATCTAAGCTTTTGTCCGAGCGACAATGTACTCAAGAATCGATAAATCTGTGTAAATATTGATATTTTTTTTTAAAAAAAGGAAAAAGTTAGCCATTTTCAGGCAAGACTATGCGCGTTATATTATATAAGTAGTTAATTTCTTAATTTAGATATATTCTCCGGCGGTTGTATCTAGGTTCTTAGAAAATTCTAGGAGATTTATACAAAAAAATATTGCTATATGGGTGTTAAGAAGAGCAGTTTTGCGATAAAGGGGGATAAGAATTTGGAGGGAATAACTAAGGGCATCAAAGAGAGTCACAAAAATAAAGAGCAAAAAAAAAAGTGATTAAATAACCGAAAGCATTTCCTAAAATATCTTTTCACGATTTTTTAATATATATATATATATACTAAAAAAAAATATTACCGGGGTGGCCTAGCGGGTTAATAGGCGATTGGTGTTTTTAAATATTTAAATATATATATATATAATATAATGGCATCAATTAAGCTTAGCTTAGAGCCTATCCCAGAAAAGGGGTAAATAAATTTTAGCTTGAAACTCATCACCCTAATCCTTAAAAGATTTTAGTCTAAAGAGTGGCTCAACCTTGAGGGAGGCTAGGGGGGGGAGGAACGTTGATGCATCATGGCATATATAATTTTTTTATGCCTTTTTAAGCAAATATTCTTAAATCGATTCACAAACCTTTGTACCATTTGCGGAAGAAAGAAAGAAAATAAGCTTTAAAAAAAATAAAAACATGCCCAAACTATAATTTTAGAAAAATTTAAAAACTCCTAAAAGTTTTTAAACTTATCGAATTTGTTTTTTTTTTTTAAAAAAAAGGGGAATTTGGACATAGCTTTCTTAACAAATTTATCAGTGACCTGCAGGCCTAAGCAGGGCCCGGGTACACGAACCGGACCTAAAAAAATATTTTTAAATACCCGGGTCACCCTTGTTTAAAAATGAGATTATCTTTTTATTTATCCGTCGATTCAAAAATTTTAAGTGAGTTCTAAAAAAAAAATAGGATTTATCTTTGAAAATTTCATTATCGTCTGCGTTCTTATTTCTTTAATTTCTAAATATTCCTTTTTAAGATAAGAAGTAAGTTATTTATATTACATTTTTATATGATATTGCAAAGAGAAGAATAAAAAAGGTGTATTGAAAAAGCAAACCTATTCGCGTTTTTTTTAAATGGTTGCTAACGCCCAAACGGTAATTTTATCAATTTTAAAAGATCGCTATTATTATCTAAAAAAAAACTAAAAAGAAATATAATATAAAAATACGGGCTGGGCCTGAAAATATAGGAACCGGGCCGGGCTCGAAAATATTTTTAAAATAAAACCGGGCCGTGCCGTGCAAATGGTACCTATGTAGGTTTAGGATTTATTCGTCATATCACACATACACTTTAAAAACAAGCAAGACTACTTTTAATATAAAAATCAATAATAAAAGTGTTAACAAAAATTATAGGTTATTTTGTGTACCCCCTTTTTCGTTGGTTCTTAATCTAAGGGTTACTTACACTAATTTATATTTATAATTTATATGACAAAAAATAAAATAATATTAACAAAATATTATTTTATTTATTTTATTTTTTCTAGAGGATAGAAAAATCGAAAATAAAATTATATTTATTAAAAAATATATATAAATTTGCGGGATTAATTTTGTTGGGTGGGTAAAAAATCTCTCATTAACCCCCTCCCCTCATACATAGTTAACGCGAATTCGCCGCAAATTATATAAAATACGCCGTATTGTTTTTCCCCGCGGCCACTTGGCAGCGAATTCGTTCTAACCGCGATCGCGCAGTGTAAAGGAACCTATAATCCGCAAGATAAGAAAAGGCAAGATTTAATAGACCAATCATTTACTTAGGTTATAAAGACTCATATAAAGATTTTTAAAACTCCCGGGAAAATTAGTGGGTATTTTTATATTTAAAAAAAGAAAAAATTGTTTTTAAAAAATTTTAAACGCAAAATTTATCGAAAAATTTAATATATTCTAAGCTATAAAAATTATAGTAACCTTATTATTAAGAATTTATATTTTTTTAAAAAAGAAAAATGCTACAGCTGTAAATGATGGCAATATTCGCTGTTTTTTTCATAAAAAAAAATAATTTCTACTTACTCTTTTTCCTCGTGGATCGACTTGAAAACTTGAGGCCCGAGCAGAAAAGTCTTGGACCTTAAAAAAAACTCGGCTAAAGTCGCTTTTAAAAGTCGGCTCTCAAATGGAGCGATTTATCTTACTTAAGAATTATCTCATCATCACAACTGGAAATATAATCTTTTTCCGGTGAGGAGAAGTGATAAATTTTCGGGATTAAAAAAAACAATTTTGCTAGTTTACGAAAATGGATGCCAATTAGATTCCCCATAATCCGCCAAAGCTCATAAAACACTTTAATAAGGTTCGTTCCTTTTTTTTCTTTCAACTTTTATTAAACTGGTTAGGAAGAAATATATATTTATATATTAATTTCCTATTTCTCTCGTGTGTATCGTATAAATTTATTAATATAAACGACAAAAAAAACCAAAATAAAAAAATGAAATTTATAGTGATTTTGTTAATTTATTTTATATATAAAAAAATAGAAAGAAAGAAAAAATTATATATTTTAGCTACATTTTTTTTCTCACTTTATATTTTTTATTTTTTTTGGAAAAACCAATGAATAATAAATTTTTTTTATCCTCTAAAAAAAACGAAAATTTTTTTATTATTATTTGGGGGAAAGGAGAAAAATAAAATAAAACCATTAAAATGAAAATAAAGATTGATTTTTTTTGGTATTAGGGAACAAAATAAAAAATAATTTTTTTTTTGGTAATTTTTCATTATTTTGCCTTTTTGATAACAAAAAAAAATTAAATTAAATATAAAAGAGTCAGTCATATTATAAATAATTGATGCTAAAAGGAAGAGAAAAACTATTCCCATCAAATCCAAAAAATTGGGAATTAATAAAATAATTTTTTTTTTCATTAACACTAAATCATTAAAAATTATCGAAAAATATTTTGAAGAATTACAAATGAGGCTAAATATTCTGAGCATATCAGTCAAACTGATGACCATTATTGCCACTTGTATACATGGCCAGTGGTCACCAAATGAAAGAGGCTCAAAACATGGCCAGGTTGAAACTGGGTGCAACCTTACCTGCGAAATGGACAAATTGGTTACCTTTAACAATGTTAGAGATATGATTTTCAGAAAAACTTTTGGGACAAGAATAAGGTCTCGAAAGTGTGTCAATATTAAATTCGTTCCCAAGATGGGCAGCAATTTTGCCAAACATAATTCTAGCATGGGTGACTACAAAAATAGTAATGGCCATTATAGTGAAAATGAAAATACTTCGATAAGGCATACCTGCAGAGATGTCATGAGATGGACTAACAGAACAAGGGGCCATAAAAAAAATCGGAGAAGCCACAGAGATGATGACAGTAATTCCAGGTATCATTCTTCTGAAAGGTATGTATCTCAGATCATCAGTGATAAAGTTGATAATAGATATCTAATGGATAAAAATTTTCAGAACAATAATGGCTTTAAAATTGGAATACTGGATGATAGCGGAGCTAGAATAAATAGTGCTACAATGATATGTGATGATTATTCAGTGGTATCAAGAATAGAATCCTGTTTGCATGAATTTGGGGAAGTAGGAAAATCGGTGTTAAAGGGTCAAAGTGCATACCAGATGAAACATATGTGCTTGAAATATATTTCTGGAATGGATTGCATGATGACAATTATAAAGGATTGCCCCGATCTTGGCCCAGGAGATGATGCTAAAGTTCTACTTGATACACTTCAGTTATTATGTGTTTATAATAGGAGCTTATGGAGAAAAAATGGTTTCCATGCTAATGAATTAAAAAATTTGGGTAGAGAGGAAGATAAACAAAAGCAAATAATATTAACTAATAGAATTGATAAGCAAAAAATTTCTGTCAAAAAGATGAGAAATCAACCTCAACCTAATGATTTGAGTATGAAAAATTTTATATTCCATAATTTATTATGTAGCATAATTTTTTGTAAAATAAAGCAGTAGATTTTAAAGAATACAAACTGAATAATGGTAAACGGAATGTAGTTTTAACAAAAGATAACACAAATTACAAAAATTTGAATAATCATAATAATAATCCAATTGCAAAAACAGAAACTAGTGCATATTATTTAGAATTTGGAAGATGTTATAGAAAAAACAAAAGAGAAACAATGAAATGTATAGATCATTTTGAACATTTTGTAAAACAGATATATGAAAGATTCATGAAAGTAATCAATGATGAATCACTATATCATGAAGCTAAGGAGATTGAAAATACATTTTATAATTTATCTTACCCAAGGAAAAAAACGAAAAGGTATATATTATATTAATTTTAATAACAAAAATAAATACTAACAGAAATCAAATTACTGGTAATTATTATAAATCAGAGTCATTTGATAATAGAGAATTATTAATTAAGAATATGCAAGTAAAATTATATATGCCTTTGATTCTCTTGATAGTTGTAGAATGTAGAATAAAAAGTGCACAATGATAAATGAAATGTCAAAATGTATTTATAATTCAATAAATAATGAATGTGGGCACAAGGCGGCCTCATTAATGGTCAAATTATCCCTCAATATTGTCCCAAATGCAAAAGATATTAAGTGTAATTATGTGAATCATCATCTTTATCAATTTAAAGAACTCGACAGCATTAGATCATTAAATTATAATTCACATTCCTCAAAGATCATGCTAAACCATATATTTTTCGCATTTCATTTATTTATTTTATTTTATATAAATATAAATATAATATAACAGCATATAAAATCTTAAAATAAGGTGTTATTTACCTGTCATATGTTTTTTTTTCATTCATATCTTTTTAAAATAAATAAATTAATTAATTTTTTATAGATGGCGTATTTGATATTTTTCATATAGATTTAAATATATTTTATATTATTAATATAAAAAATTTTTAATTAAATTAATAAAAATTAAATCTAATAGATATTGAGCTGCGTCTAGTAGTGTTGTTAAAAAGCTCGATTGATTCGATTTTTAAAACGACCCGATTAGGATTTTAGTCAAAATAATAATATAAAAGCCTGAAGAATTTGCTCATCGATGGCAGAAATGCTTGGACATATATTTGCCAAATCTCGATGCTTAAATTATATTATTTTAATCGGGCTGTTTTTAAAAATCAACCCTTTATAAGTAACTAGCGTTTCGAATTATCCAAATACTTAGTTGCGTAATTTTAAGTAGTATTTTTAAAAGGTAAGTAACGCAGAAAAACGTTTATGAATTGTTTTTTTTTAATTTAATCCTATTAATTTAATATTTGCATATTTGATAATATATATATAAAAAAAATTTTTTATTAAAAATAGTCATCCTACTCTGTTTAAGGCCATGAATCCTTAAATAATTTAAAATTATAAAAATATTATTTCGAATCTGATATTTTGTTTAATCAGAATTGAGATTGTTATCTTTTGGCTTTTATGGCTAATTTGTTTGATTGGGGATGTAACTTTCCTAAGTGAGTAGTTCGTTACCACAATGGGTATAAATATATTTAAGTTGATTAGATGTAAAGATTTTTGGATTTTCCTTTTTTCTATACTTAATGGATCGTAATTATTATTTAATGGGGCAAAAATGTCTATACATGAGAAATCCCAATATAAGATTCTATTTCCACGGGCATTAATGTATGCCCATCAGGCCGCCAGTTATTAATAACTGAAGTATCCCAAGGTTGGAGATGTGAAGGCACGCCGGCTTTAAATAATGAATCTTAAATTATTTTATTAATTCTTTCTTGCCTTACATATTTGCATCGGTTCATAAGAAAATGGAGTGGAAGTTTAGTTATTGAATCAATCATCATCCCACATTTTTTATACTTGTAGGGTGGAAATATGTCTAAGCCAAGCCTGATATTTAACGCATATCTAAATTCTTTATTTGTCAAAAGATATTTATTTAACGTACATGGATAAGCTTCTAACCATTCGTAGCCTGATTTATCCATTAAAAATCAAAGAAGATTAGTACACCGCTGTGTGTCATTGTTTGAGAGTAGATAATGGACGGAGCGGCACTCGATTGCAACATTCCAATTGTTCTTAAAAATGTTAACGACCAGTAGAGTGAAGTTAAAAGGTTTAGTTTATTTGAGAATTATATTTTTATTTCTTAATAAAGATAAAAATAAAAGAAACTAAAGCAAGAGGTAATGCTGATCATAAGCCAACACGGTTAGATTTTGTTGATAGAGTGGTCTGTAACTATTTAGTGAAATTTAAGGTTGACTATATTCCCATATATCGATTTAAATAAGTATGGTGAGTAATAAATAGGCACCAGATGATTTGAAGCAGAATTGTATTTTGAGAATATTAAAAAAAATAAGTGCTTGAGAATATTTTCTTTATAATTAAGATTAGTCAGATTATGTTCCAAAATGTTTGAATACATGGATATCGGTGATCCGAGAACAAAAATTTTATCTTTTGCCACACGAGTAAAATTTGTAATTGAGTATATTTCTCATTTATAATTTAAGGACAAATTTAATTGTTAAAAATTTAAAATGACGAATATCTACAGCTTTAACTATTTCACTGATAGTCACATTTGAAATGCTTTATTTGAAATTTGGGACAAAACCTCAGAACTTCAATTTGCATTATAAGACTTACATATGTTTGTTAATCTGATTCTCAAATTTTAATAGTCTTCACTCATCTTATTTTCTATGAAATTAAAAAATAAAAAGTTGTAATTAGCCCAAGTGTTTGATCAGTCTTCATGTGGCGTTGGTATGGGGAGGAAGCAGAATTTGCACCTCAGTTTGAAATCATCTTTTCCAGCATCTCAAGCAAATGTACTATGCCACTACCTTTGTGGGAATATCTAATTTTTATAGAAATCTTTTAGAATTACCAAAACAAACATTATAAAATATTTAAACAATGTTTCTAAAATGAATACTAAATAGTTATATAGATACAATTCGGTCTTAAAGTATGTCAACGTTAAAATTTCATAAAAGCCCCAATTTATTTTTAAATTTTGGTTGCATCTCTTTTTCTTCTTGGTAGAAACACATGATGGGGAGCTATTGCATAAAACTTTATAATTTTAAATATTATCTTATATAAAATTTGTCTTACTATAATATAATTAGGTTTATAATATTATAGTTATAGTACAAATTATTATTTAATGTAACATAATAATATTGAGTTATATAATTATCAATGGTCAATAAATTATCATTTATTTTACAAGAAAACTAAATTTTAAGCTAAGAAAACTTTATTGAAGTTAAATAAAGTTGAATCTAAAATTTGGCTAGGGGTAGGTAGGCATCAGTTTTTTAGGAGGGGGTTGGGGCAATTTTGACTTTAGTATTCATTCATATTTTTCAAATATCGTGGCCGAAGTTCAATTTTTTTATGAGGGTAGGGTACATTTTGAAGGGGGGTTTGCCTTCAGCCTATTTTTTTTATGTACACTCTGGATTTTCTAATGATTTCTATAGGGCTTAAATTAGGACTACTTACACTACTAATTATTCTTTGGTATTTATATTGATATTTTATGTAAAATTATATTCCTATCTATAAATATTTTTAAATTGGATTGTTGAAAGTATAGTATGTCAATGAAAGCTAAAATATTCGAATTCCCGGAGGAAAAATAAAATAAAAATGATGTTTATTTTAAAAAAACATTAGGGAGAGGTACAATTCCAATTCAAAATTAATTTCAAAATAAACCTGTTCATGTCTAACTAATTGAGTTCCGGTGCGAATGCCAGAATTACTCATTTACAATGACAATCAACTTATTATTTAAATATCGAATAGAGCGTTCAAATGATCTGGCAACGTTTACGAGAAACACGTGGAGGGTTATCAAATTATAACACGATTTTATTTCTTCTTTTTTCTTTTCAAATAACAATACATTTTTTTTTCCAAACTAAATTTAATGATTTATAAAAAAATAATATATATATATAAATTTTTTTTTAATCAATTGAGTGCATATGTGAAAATTTGTAGCCTTTGGATGTAAAATCTTTGGCTTGTGTGTTACGTATTATATCGTGAATCTTTTTGTTATCTTCATTTTCATCTCTGAAATTGATACCTTCGACTTTTCTACCCGAAATAGGGTCAATCATGTTTCCAAACTGATAATATTTGAATATATATATATACATAAAAATATTGTGAAAAAAATAAATAATTTCTTATCTACTTGTTCAATTGCGATGAGTAGTGTTGTTAAACGGCTCGATTTGAGCCGATTTTTAAAAACGGCTAACTCAATATTTTAGCTAGAAAAATATTGCCTAAGCCTGGAGACTTCGCTAACAGATGTATAATCTATGACCAAAATCTTCAGTAATGTGTAATATTTTTCTGGCTAAAATATTGAGTTAGCCGTTTAATAACACTAGTGATGAGAATTGAGGAAATTTTCAAAAAAAAATAAATTCGAATCTAAGCGACAATGTGTTATTTTTCAACTTTTAAATCATATTTTGAAGGCGTTTTTTTTTAAATTTAAAAATTGGATTATACAGAAAATGTATTCTATCATGTTTGGAATACCTACCCTAAGTAATTCAGATAATTTTAATCACGAACTTTCGAACTTAATATAATTTATATTAAATTTTTCCATAGTTTTTTCTATAAATTTAGAAATGACTCGAAATTTAAAGGTAAAATTATCTACAATTCATAAGTTAGGTATTCTAAACATGCTGGAATTTATTCGGTAAAAATCAGATTTATAGATTTAAAAAAAAACGCGCTATAAAATGTTTTCAATTGAAAAAAATAACACATTATCACATAGTTATTTTTTCAATTTTAATAACTTTTTGAGCGGATTTTTTCCGAAGATGTATTCCATCATGTTTGGAATATTTACCCTACGAATTTAAGATAATTTTGCCATGAGCTTCATATTAATTTATATTAGAATTTTCCATATATTTTTCATATAAAATTATAAATGAAGTTAACGTTAAAATTATCTACAATGCGTAAGATAGGTATTCGAAACATGCTACAGTTGCCCAATTTAATAAGGCATATAGATAATAATTAGGAATTTGATTAACTCAAAAATTTTGGTTAAATTAGGGAGTTTCCCGAATTATCCAAAAGCACATATTAGACAGATTTGACTCTGTACATAAATTTTTTTTAAAAAATTTGAATATAATAGAAAATGGCGATTTTAAAGATATATATAAGTTTTGTTATTAATTTGAAAATTCATAGTATATCGATATTAAATATTTATTTTTTTACTTTGGAATTAATCTTACTTATAAAAAATTATCTGAAATACTAACTTTTTATTTGGAATTCTTATCAAAAATATTGAAAGCTCTTTTTAATTTAGAATTAAATCACAGCTAATATAATGGAGCAAATATTTTCAAATCGTTATTGATAATTTTATTTGATTATTGAAGCCTTCTATTTACTTTTATTAAAAAAACCGGTTTTAGGTCGATTTTTCAAGATGGCCCAATTAAGATTTTATATTATGTAAGCATCTAGATTTTGACAAATAGATCTCCAAGCATTTCTGCCAGCTATGAGCAAAATCCTTAGGTTTACATAATGTTATTTGGGTTATAATCTTAATTGGGCCATTTTTTTAAATCGATCAGAATCGGGCTTTTTAATAACACTACTTCCATCTAATATGGTTAAATGACAAGTAGGGGATGTGAAGACACTTCAAGATACTCCATATAAATATCTTATATATACCATAATATCTTAACTCAGTGGAACTGGAATCCATATCTTCAAGTTCTATATCATTTTCTTCCAAAAAATTAATCAGTTACATTTCCAGTATAAACATTACTAATTTTAATAAAATAGAATGAAGCAGATAAGATCTTAATTCTTTTCTCTAACTTGGATCATAGAATTAATATTTAAAGCAATAAATATTATATATATATATATATAAACTAAAAGTATTTGTATTTATTTGAAATATTATATTTTTTAGGATTTAAATACAATGAATTTTTCAGATATATATAAAAAAGGTATTTGTATTTAGTATTTTAAATACAAGTATTTGCTATACTGCTCAACCCTGATTGCAAGACTATTAATAACTTCATTTATCAAAATGATATTTAATTAAACAATTGTAAAATAACTTGTCTGTTTCAAGATTATTTCTCAAAATTCTAATTTATTTTATGAGCACTTAAAAAAGTTTTAAACTTAGGAATAATTCTAAGCAAACTTAGACTAAAAGGGGTTCTGGTTTCAGTTTTTCAAATATAATTCTGGTTCTCAGAAATGAAATGTTCCTAGGAATTTCAGGTTCCAAACTATATTAATAAGCATTGTAGAACAATATACAAATCTTATAAAATGAATAACATAAAATTTTAAACAATATACAAAATGGTTTCTGGAAATTTTAAATGGGTTCTGGTTAGAGTAATTCTTTGCTTTCCATGCTATGGTTCTTAGATTTGTCAGAGATCAAAGGTTCCAGGTAAAAGATTAAAACTATGTTAATCCACACAACCTGATATCAGTCCAAAATTGATCCAGTAACCAATATTAGTCATTGAATCAGTTTTGAGTAAATATAAGATAGGTAAAAAATTTAATATTTTGTAAATCAACATAGCCTTATAAAAACCATTCATTATATATATATTACTTGATACAATACTTCCTGTAAGGCGAATGCAACATCCTTTGCATATGGTTTGTCCAATTTTTTTATTAAAACAACATCTCCTTCATTAGCCATTTTTTGAGGATCGTATGCTAATAATGTTTCTTTTTCATCAAAATACTTGATGTGAAAAAATATATTTCATATAATAAAAAATAACTTCTAAATTTTATTTTACATTTAGAAATGTAGTTTTTATTTTATGTTTTAAAACAAAGTTTAACAAAAAATCTGTTTATATATAAGAAAAATAATATAAAATTGCTTGAATAACTACTTGTAATGTATAAATTAATTTTAAGAAATCAAAGAGTCAAGTGTAAATTGATTAAAACAAAGATAAAATATCTTACTATCAAATATTATATATGAATATAGTACCATATTTAAAAAATCATCCATGATCAATTTTGTGCATTCGACGTTGTAAATTTCCGGAGTTTTCAAATCTCTTGGTCCAACTACCCCAATACCAACACCCAATTGGCTTATAGCCTCAATAACTTTTCCTTTCCAAGGCTCCCAGATCAATTTTCTTCTAACCCATTTTAAATTTTTATAGGCTTTATATATAGGTGTTTTCATTTTTAAGGCGTTTAATGGAAAAACCAAAAAGAAACATATGTTTATGTGAGTATAAAAAAAATTTTCTCTTTATAATTCAGTTATTTTGAAACACTAATAAATTATTTAGAAAATATTTCTAGTGATCGAAATCTGAATTTAGCCAAAGTGTTTAATACAGTTTTGCACCAAGCAAATTCCTATATTTCATTCATGAATTTTTTTATTCTACATCGTCAAAAATAATTTTGTATGGGCCAGGTGATTTTTACGCCTTTTCTTGTGTAATATATATTTATAGAAAAAATTATTCAATTTTTCCATTTTGATGGTATATTCTATATATATTATAACTATAAATTTTAATAAATTAGTCATTAAAAATATGATTTAGACATAAATATTATTAAGCATACTCAACATTGGCGTATTTATCCAAAGGGTCATAAACCAGGCTTTGTCTTCCTCCCCCCCCCCCCCAATAAAAAAAAATTTTTTTTTTAATTATTTATTTAGAAAGGTTTTAATTTAAAAATTAATTAAAATATAAACGACAACATAATAAAATATATTAAAAAAGAAAAATGAAAATAATATATATATTTTATATATAAAAATTTTATATAAAAACATTAAAAAAATAGCTATGAAATTAAAAAAAGGTGGTATAGACCATTCCAATACCATCAGGTCTTAGAGCGTTATCATTTCAAGAGTGAATGAGATATTTACTTTTTTGAGGGCAGCTAGGAAATAATTATGATTAGATTTAAGAAAATATGTCACCGAAAGCATAGAATTTTTAATCAAAATAAAAAAAACAGTGAGGAAAAAATATATTTAACGATTTTTTGTAATATTTATACTTTTTTTCTACTATATATAATGTGATTTTTAAGATCATTTGTAATTTTAATTTTTTTAAAACGAAATCTGTTTTCTCAAAATTATGATAGCTAGATATTGGCAATTTAACTCTATTTTTTATTATTAATAAATTGATTTTGTGATAAAAGTTGCATAATTATGGACAGAGGAACTAAGTGACAGATAATTCAGTTGACTCCTAAAAAAGAGGAACTTTAAGGAATAAAAATGTAGTTAAATTTAGGATTATTTATTAATTTTCAAATTAATATTTATAAAATATAACAAACAAAAGAGATACAGAGGTCAGTAGACGAGATGAGTGTGTAAAAATAATTGGTGGATGCGGCAAAAACACATGCAATTAAATATGTTATAAAAATATTTTTCCAAAAACGGAGGCAATCTGACGAGGGAAAGGTATGATATTATGACCAAGTGTTTATATTTGCGAACTTTTAAATATTAAGTTAAGATACAACCTCTTTTGAAAAAATTGTATTTCTTATGTAATATTCGATCTTAGATAATTTTTTATGAAAAAACAAATATATTAAAAATAAATTTAATTCTAACTTTACTACTTTAAAAGTGGCTACTTTTCTAATTGCCGCGGGCAAATATCTGTAAACTCATATTTCCCGACGCTAGCCTGAGCCGATAAAATCAAACCTAAGTTGAAATTTAGACGACTTTAAGATGTTTTTATCTAATACCTTAGTTTTATTAAAATAATTACTAATTATTTTAAAAAAATTTGAAAATATTATTAATTTTATAAGTGAGAACTTTTCCAATTTCCAACCACCTGTTGATATTAGTTTTTTTTTGTTTAGTTTTTTATTATATTATTTTCAACAAACAAAATTGATGAATAAATGATTTTAATTTAACATCTAGTCTGCTAAGTTAGATCCTAAATAAAAATTAAGAAAGTATTTATCTATTTAATCCTTGCCTTTTTCTATTAGTTATCGCAACATTCCCCCCTACCTTTAAAGAAAAAGAAAAATTATACAGTCTGATAACAAGATAGAACATCTAAATCATTAGAAGCGGCTTCCTAAACCAGAAATATCTTATCAGAAGAATTAAAAGTTTTTATACGACTACTTTTATGACATATAATTCTTAAGTGTACAATACTAGTCACCTAAGGGAGAAAGGGCGCAACACCATAGGCTTAGCCAGGATTTTCTTAAAGGGGGATTGCACTTTTTTTATATGATTTGCCTTTGGCTTATATCATATTTCTTAAACGCCATTTTTGGTTTATCACATTTATTTTATATAATAATGCTTTTTAACAAAAATAAAGTGAAAAATAGTCATTAGTTTTAATTTAAAAATTATTAACTTTTACATTTTCTCTTGCAAATTATTCAAATGTTTTTGGTAGGTGGGAAGGGGGACATAGGAGACTGGCTAGGAAGATATTTTTTATTAGCTTAAAATGATATTTACAAAGAGTGATTCTGAAAGGGATAATTTCTTCTTGCCCACTCCCCTTCCCCTAGCTGCGCCTATGAGTTACACCAACCTCACTCAATAATTATAACGATTTGGCATAGCCTCACAACATTCTCGAACTAATAAATTGGTTCTTCTTCTCAGAGGACAATTGGAGAGCTCTTAAGTAGACTAAAATCCTTTGGGTGTCACTTAAATACTTTATTTGTCTTTAATATCGTAGAATACTTAAAAAAAATAATAGAAAACCCTAGACAAAAAGGAAAAAAAAAATGAATATATTTAATTATATTTTAGATATAATTTCTTAAAAATTATTAGGCAAAAGTAAAACATTTACCACCTTTTTAAATAACATTTTATGGTTTCTTTTTAAGAACCTAAATCAAAATTTTTTGGTCATGTATATTTCTTCTTCTATAGAAACTACTAGTTTCTAGTTCTCTAGAAAAAAAATCCCCATACAGGGGAAAGCTTTAAAAAATAATCTGATTCGTAGGTATACTATTTTAAAAATTAAGAAATTTTATATTATCGCATACGTTGATTATTATAAGAGTTCAATCTATGTTCGCATTATATAAAATTAGTTTTAATTTATATATCAAAAATAGATTGGTATATTCACTTTAAAAAAAATAGGCATTAACATATAATTATCTAAATAATTAATTTTGATAAATATAACAAGGCAGAAATCGCTTAGCTACATGATATTTAATTAGATTTACCAAAAAAAAAATACTTTGTAGATAATATAATAACACGGTTTAAATGCCAAGTTAATAACCTCAAATTCTTATATTATTTTTATATCTTAGGCCGAGTATTATAATGTTCTATATCCATAGTGTTTTTAAGAAGAAGAAAAAATTTTTTTTTATATTTACGAAGTGATTTCTAAAATGTGGCAATTTCAAAAAATTGTTCTATTTTTTTTATTCCTTAATTTTCGACGATCTGACCACTATCCCCTAGGCTATGGGCAAATCCCTCATTTGGGATTATACATGTGCCTCATCCTTCCCCACCAATATAAATAGCAACCTGGTTACTCAGGCAAGAGTAGTTTTGTTAAATGGCTCGTTTTGAGCCGATTTTTAAAAACGGCTAACTCCATATTTCATCCAGAAAAATATTACTCAAGCCTGAAGATTTTGTTCATAGAAGGAACAAAGGTCTAGACATATATTATGGAAATCTTGAGACTTAGGACAATATTTTTCTGGCTAAAATACTGAATTAGCCGTTAAATCGGCCCTAAAAGAGCCGTTTAACAACACTAGGCAAGAGAATTAAAAAATAAAGAAACAAAAGTATTAGCAATTGTATATACTCACCAAAAGCACCAATGGGCAGTTCACTCCTTTAACTTTTTAAAATATTTAGATCAAAAATATCATGTCGTAAACATCTTAACTAGGGGAATTTCTATTACTCAGAAAAAAACAATACAAATCAATATTTTTCAAATTTAACCAATTTAACCAATTGTTCTATTTTAGGAACACGATCATGTTTTCCTTTGAAATTAAATTAAATTATTTTAATTTATTTTATTTAGAGTTTATATTATTTAATTTTATTTTTTTTAAAAAAAACATTTTTATATTTATATATATAATAGTTTTATAAATGATTTAAATATATAAAAAAAGAAAGAAAGAAAGAAAGAAAGAAAGAAAGAAAGAAAGAAAGAAAGAAAGAAAGAAAGAAAGAAAGACAAAATTTCTTTTTTTGTTAGGTATATTAAATAAGTTTTCTGAGACTACTATTTTAGGGCGAGCTATAATAAATTGCTTTAAATATCATTTCTAAGCATTATCAATTCGGATAAATAATAAATTTTTACGACTTTATTTGTTGAAATTTAGGCTATGTTAAATTTTTTTTTAAAAAAATATTCTCCCGGAGAATTGAAGAAAATAAAAAAAAATGGATATAGAACATTATAATCCTCGGCTTAAAGATATAGCAATAATAGAAGAATTATCAGGTTGACTTGGCTTTAAATTCGTAAATTATATCATAGAGAGTTATTTTGGTAAATCTAATTAAATTTTATGGGGCTAAGATTTCTTATTTTCTGTTTAAATTGTGTGTATACATTATCTATTTATATTGAAATAAATTATTTGGATATTACATGTTTTTTATCTATTTTTGGATGTGTATCTAATTAAATACCAGCTAAGAAATTACATTAAAAAAGGTTAAATAAAATTTGTACCCTTTGTTTTTACATTTGGATATTACATGTTTTATTATCTTTTTGGATGTATATCTAATTAAATACCAGCTAAGAAATTACCTTTAAAAAGGTTAAATAAAATTTGTACCCTTTGTTTTTACTATATTAACTTATATTTAAGATTTTAAAAACTATTCATAATATTCGATAAAATTATATAATAGAAATTAAATTTCTTGTCAGAAATATATTTATTTTAAAAAATAAAGATTAAATTAATTAAATGTTGAAAAATATCTTACTATTCTTATTATTCACACTCATAACTGGTAATATTATTAATTAATTATATATTCGTAACTACTCCCAAGAGACACAAACCGAACAAAAACCGAACTTTTAAACCGGTACTAACCGTTTTTATTTACAGATCCGAAATCTAACATGAACCGTGAAAAATTTTGTTACCCCCCAAACTAAATCTAACTTCTAAAAACACATCTGCGAATCGGTTTGAAACTTTAAAGTATATTGACAATCGATT